CAAACGCATAATTTCTTTATAAAGTTGGATATGTAATCTACAAGGCCTATATTAAAAATGTCAAATAAAGTAATGGTTGCTATTTGCTAAAATTAAATATCCCATGACCTTTTGAGAGATTAATTACTCAAGATGAAATGGAGAGCTATTTATGGGAGAATCCAATTGACGCACATTGAATATTGTCGTCATGGGCGGTTTCAGCAGCACAAGTATCAAATCGTAAAAAGGATCTTTAAATCAACTGAATATTGAAAACAACACTAGACCACTTAAGAAATATATGAAATTTCAGTGTTCCTGAACCTCAATTATATTGGGATTTCGGATATTGTGAATTTATTGAACTTCCATATTTGATGCTTCTTTTCCACCAAATTATTTTGTTAGTTTTTATGTTGTCTAACTTTCTACTAAATAATGACTCCTTGTGATAGTACACTTTAATTCTCTTATATGCTTGTACCCATTAGCGAAAAAATATATATATTTGCATAAATACAAAGTCATTTAAACCGATCAAGGGACTTCTTGGAAGAAATTTGATTAAAAGAGCAAAGAGTATGCTGAGCCGCGATCCGTACTTTCACAGGCAAACGTCTTTCAGGCAAAAGGGACAACCAATCAGAATTCCGCTAATTTTCATTGGTCGAGGGAATTTGTCACACTATAACCACTGGAAAATACCGCCACCCCCACCACCACAAACAACCGCTATCACCACCAACAGCTTCAGCACGAATCTTTCATATACTTCTTTCCTATAATGTGCTTAACAAATATTTTGGCGATTTAAATGGTTTATAATCAGTAAGCACTCAGCTACCCAAGTAGAAATGGATTATATTGCCTCAAGGGCTCACGAGCAGTAATGAGCAGATAAAGTTGGAAATATGCCACAAAGAAAAGGATTACTCGCTCCTCAAAATACGTTCCTTGATACTATCGCTACCCGATTTGACGGAACTCGTGAGTTTCGAAAATTATTTATAAAATTATATGTAATAAATTTGTTTCATAGTTTCACTATAAGCATCTCGGTAATGTTTTCTTTTAATATTTCCCCACACAGATGTAGTATGACACAACAGAACGATTGATAATTTTCAGATTTTTAATTGAATCTTACATTTAAATTAAAATAAACTTTGTGGAGTTAGTTCAAATAAATATCTCTCTATTCTTGCATCAGAAATCCAACTTTATAAATTAATTTCAAATTACAGAAGTATTTCTTTTGCATCGTCTTGATATTTCTATTTGACTGCAATCCAAAGGACGCCTTGATGTGTAGTGTGGATAGAATTTACTTTTATTGAATGGAATACTCTGCTTGATACAAAAGCGCTGATGCTCCAGGTTTGGACAATTAGTGAGAATATAATAAATAAACGTATTTCAGTTTTGTGAATTACTCTTTACATAATAAAAAGACCAGTTTAGTAAAGTTATCGGGTGATATTAAATGCATTAATCAGGTTAGATTGCTACTATGGACGGGGTCAAAATTGAAAATTTTCTTAGTGAAAAATGCTTGGTACAATAAAACCTGGACACCAACTCTAAAAAAACATTTAATTTTTTTGAGACAGTACGTACTTTAATGTTTTGTCAAGGTACTGCTCTTAATGCTTTACCGTCGAAATTGCTGAATTCATACCATTTTTGAAGGGATTGGGGGATCCGTAAACTTAATTTTAATTGTTGTTTTCATTTTTTTGATTAGCCGCTTTGCTAAAAAAACCTTTTCCCATTTCAGTTAACACGTGATTTTATGATAAAAGTTAGTATTCTATTAAGTGGTGAACTCACAGGTGATGAGTCAAGGGCGAATTGAAGTATTTTGTTTAATTAATGTTGCTATTAGAGTGGCTGGGACTCGGGCATGCATTTAATTGATATATCCTAAGTCACCTTACCGCGTCTTACATATCAACAAGCTACCAGACACTTTCCGGTTGTGTGACTTCCAAGGTCCACGCGATTAATCAAAGTGTTACAGGTTTTATTTTATTGAAGAGATAATGAAGACATAAAAATGTGCCTAATGGATTCTGCATCGGGCTGTAATATGAAGCTCTTGAATTTAATTTGGTGACAATACGCTTGAATAAACACTGGGATAATAGCTTTTTAAAGACCATCAACGAGGGACTCACCAACTCCGCAAAAGTCTTTAAAATCGAGAATTTTTCTGAATTTAAAATATTATTGAAAAATTAATATTTAAGAACTGCTAAGATTGATTTTAATCAAAGTTTATCACACAAGACATGAAAATGGAGCATTCAACTCAACTAAAAATAATTGAATTGGAACTTCTAGCTGATTCAAATGCCTTCACGTAATGGAAGAGCCAAGACTTTTGTATTATTGTGATTATTAATGAGATGAAATAATCAAAACTTGTTCGATGCTCTTTAAAATGAGCTGAAATTTCAAGTTTTAGAATCTGTAGCACATATTGTATCGTGTGGCAATAAGAAACTGGTCGAATGAAAAGTCCAAGTCCAAATAATAGCAAATAGAAAAATAAAAATTTATCCAACATCAGCAATAGCTGATAAATAAATAATTATATATATATATATATATGTACTGTTTAATATTGCATAAACTTAAGACCACTAAACAAGTTAATCGTATAAATGAGAAATTAATACTTAGAGAATTTTATTTTTTACCTGATGCACAAATAGAAAAAAATAGCGCATCTATTAAAAATCTTGAAAACAAATCACCAAAACGTAACTTTGAATATGCCCCTGGGGCACTGATTTGATGACAAATTTACTCACTTTGTATTTACCTAAGCTTCCCGTTTTTTGCTAACTTGAATATATATACATTTTTATACATTCATTTAGCTTATTTATTCCCAACGCTTTTATTCACCATACACTACAAAAGGGGACTCGTTAACGATACCTTTGTAAGTTGACCAAGTGCTAAATTAAATAAAATTTAGTTTACCTCATCTATATTATTAGAATTAATAGTAGCAGTAGTATTCCTGTTCAAGTGAAAAGGACTTTCACCAATTTTGACCACAATAGTGTCTTCAATTTAATGATAGTGTAAGCTGTCTCCTTCCTCCCTCTCCATTATTCTAACCACTCATAATTTACGTCCTGGGTCTTCCAGTGATTTGAGTGTAAATCTCATTAACAGCATGTTTACCAGTTCATGCTAGCGAGTTGTCCATCTTGTCCAGTGTTGATAGGTCTGTGTGAAAGTCTTGCTCGCAAATTTATAATTTTGAAGAATTGGAATTTAAATACGCCGTTTGATTTTAATTATAATTTTTTGACAATTTTGTTTACCCGTTTCTACGCATAGACTAAGGGTAAATATTAGTAGCTACAAGGCAAATAAATAGCAATTCTTTTTAATTACACCTAGAGAGTTTTAGAATTTTGACAATTTCGATAACATCCTGCTAAAATTACTCTATGTCAGTCTTGTTTTTTGATATATGTCCTTCAAAAGAAGATGACAGATGCTTACTTCAAGTATTTCTAGATGATTGTATTACTGTCAGTTCTCAGAGCAATGCAGAATCGTTGACAAGTCGTAATTGTAGGGATAACATCTTTGAAACGAAGGAAGAAATAGGAGTATTTAAAGCCTAAATAAAGTGAACCCTAAACAACCGTCTAAAATTGGCATATTTCAATGCCGCTATTTTATAAATTGATTGCTGCTTTCGGAATGATTATTTTAACCGAATGGTTTAACAAACTCATCATCTTTTTAAGGTTATTCGTGGGTATACGATATAAGCAATTAGTTAAACGCAGGAACACCATTTAATTTAGTTGAAAGGAAATTTAATGATCATATTTGATGAGTATAATTTAAAGAAAGCAAAAACTTGAATATTGACCGACATGTTGTTTTACTACAGTAACCTGATTCATCGCAATTAATTACCATTTTTTACGAATTTGATTTACAGCCCTATAAATTATATTTTATTTTTCAACTTTTTAATTCACAACTACCTTTTAGTTTTCTTACTTATTTTCTTAGAAATTCTTGCAATAAAAGTAGAAGTATGTGCTTTTTGAATGAGCACAATTGATATCTGAATGCTTTTTTGAAGTTCCTGATTTTGTCATTGAAAATAAATATTTTGAGTGAAGTTAAAGGTGAATTATGACAAACATTTGCCTTCGTAGCAATTAAAGAATTTCTTTATATCTGGTTTTTACTTTTAAAAGCATTGCAACAATATTGGTAGCGTAGATTACATTAATCTTCTATTTAGTCATATAGGGCATCTTTTAAATTTTTTCTTGCTGTTTATGTATAAACAAAATTATTTTTAATAAAAATTTTATTAATTGCAAAAGAACATATTATAATTAGGACCGTAGTTTCGGGAAATTCGGAAATCGTAAGTGTTTACCGCTACTTCTCAAAAGATTTCGTAAATTGGAGAAAAGCAAAATTTTGATAATATGGCCACTTACCCTTTAAATGTGCCAGATAAATAGAAAAACATGACAAATATGAAATCTTTCTGTGTATTTCAAGTAATAGTTAACCAAAGCGTTTACGAATGTTCAGCTCAAGTTTTTTTCCATTGACTTTTATTTGTGCTAATTCTCAAGTTTACAGAAACTAGAATATAGTCATTTGTCGAATGAAAGCGAATTATACCGTCATATTAAGAAAAAAAGGTATATATATATGTGTATATAAGGTTTTCATTTAACCAGGACCACTCAAAATGACTGAAGGCCAAATTAGTTTCAGTCCAAAAGTCTTAGAAGGCCCAATAAGGAAAGCATCCCAAGCACTTAATATAAGCAGTGGGAGAGTGCCTAATAGCTTCTGTGACAAGGAACACACCCTGCCATCGATGATGTTTGTCAAAAAGAATAGGTTGAATTGGACGCCCTGATAGACATCAAACCCGTGATCATTGCCTCACAGACACAACAATAAAAATGGCCTTGTTACACCACCCCCCCCCCTTAATGACATGTGATTCACTAGGCTTCAGGGTAAATAAGTTGTTCATTCAGATAAGCCAGTCTAAATAAAGTAAAGCCATAGCTTATCTCTCATCAATGATTAATGCTTTCTGATAAAATTGAAATGACCCAAAAGAGTACTCAAAACTCCGTTTCTTCACAATTTTATAGACAGCAATTTCGTGCTGGGGAACGCTCAAGTAAAGGAATACCCAATTGTTTACTGTTCGGATGGATTTGTGGAATTGACTGGATTTGGTAGATCCCAGATCATGTCCAGATCTTGTAGCTGCGCCTTCCTCTGGGGTCCGAATACAACGGAGGCTGCAAAGGACAGCATTTGGTCCGCGCTTAAAGTTCACACTGAACTCAAAATTGAAGTAATCTTCCACAAAAAGAGTGGTTAGTGGATTTAGTTCTTGCCTCTCTCTATCTCATCATAAAAATTCATTTGCCTCTTTAGCCTTGGGATTTGCCAGTAATCATATCCCTCACGTCACCCCCCACCCCCACCAATTTCATGCCAGAATTATATCTAATGGAGAGGATTTATTAGCTCTTCTCAGTTAATGCTTTATGAGGTCCGACTGGTTTGAGCACTCACTCACATTATAGCAGATTTGGCTCCTAACTATCTGTCATTCTCATCCAATCGAGGTAATTTCATTTTGATCACTTCGTTCGTTTTTCCAATGGACACAATATGCAAATCATACAAATTCATGGTGCTGTATATCAAGTGGTAGGCGTTTTGATAGTTATCACTAATCCTTTAGTTGTCTCAGGCTTCAAAGAGAGAAGGAGAAACATCAAAGTGAAAAAAATCGAGAGGGGGGGGGGGGAACATAAGAGTGCTTCAAAGATGCAAAAGAAACAGACAGACAGAGAAAAGGTAAGATGAGTACTGCGTAAGGGGTTGAATATGACATGCAGTGGGGTCATGGTAGCTTGAGGTCAGAAGTCAACTGCCAGTCAATAGACTTTTTTGCCGCAAGAGTATACGTTGCCCAGGGTACACCACGTGGAGGCAAGTCTACCGCGCACCCCTTAATCTAAACATCTAAACATCAAAACCATCTTTGCTGTTTCTGATAAATAACTTGATTCATCGAATTTGCGTTCTTATCACTGCCCTCGAGATGTTTATGTTAACACACTAAAACATTTTAGTGCCAACTTCTCCGTGCTGAAAACAATTGACAGTTGCCTTAATAGAATGTCCCACATTGGGATGGGGGGAACTATGCAGGTAAATAATTGGTCTTAGTGTTGTCCGTGTGTAGGATTCTAATGATTGTTTACGAGTACTTGAGAACCACAAGTCCAGACAGAAAGAATGTGCCTCTCTCTCTGCTCTCAACCAAACTAGAATTCCTGACTTTTTTGACTTTATTGAGCAGTAAATTTAGCTATTTTAACTTACATTAGTTAACTTTCCATCATTTAGATCCCATTTCATTTCCCTAAGCCTCTTGAAAGGCACATGAATGCGAGGTTCTATTTTTTTCTCACTTAAGTGGAAGTCGGCAAGTTAAGTAGCCGACGGTGGAAAAGTTAGTGTTTGGAGAACGAAAAGTCGTATTGCTTGAAGTCTTGGGAAACAGTGTCTTCATTTTTTTCACTCTGTTGTTCATCCATATTTTCCCCATTTCCAGCTCCTCCGTTGCACTTGGAGCTGATGCCGCCATTGTTAACTCCAATGAAAATCTCTTTTGTTAATGGAGTTCATTATTGTTTGCTAATTCAATATATATGAAGGCCTATCCTGTTAAAATTTTAAATATCAATACATTGACATTTACAGTAGTAGTGAGGGAAGAGGGAGAGGGGAATTCAACACCTCCAATGAAAATATGAAGGATTGTAGAGGGGACGATCAAAGACATTTATTTATTTTATTTATATCAAATGGCAGGCGTTTTGATAGTTATCATTAGCCCTGGAGCTGACATCAAAGTGACAAAAAGTCGAGAGGGGGAACAGAAGAGTGATTCACAGATGTAAAAGAGACAGACAGACAGACACAAAGGCATAAAAAGGTAAGATGAGTACTGTGAAAGGGGTTGAGTATGACATATAGTCGGGCCATAGTAGTTTGAAGTCATAAGTCAACTGCCGATCAATAGACCTTTTTGCTGTATAAGTATACATTGCCCAGGGTGCACCACGTGGAGGTA